AAAAAAGTAGAGARAGAAARAAAMRGGGGCTTTAGAATRTGTAGTAAAGAAGCCATTTAGTCAGAAGAGCTTGTGAAATGTCAGTGGTTTGCTGTGCAAAGGAGYCTGGCTGATGGGACCCCCAACCTTCAGMCAATCCCATCTGCATGGACAGGCCAGGGCTGTCGTGACCCATTGGGGCCCCTGSTACGGACACTTCCCCATSRACARTGACCATCTGCTGAAACTACGGAATAGGAGTCACACGGGACCCCAGGAGCATAAACATCATCACTGCCCATGCTMTAAAAAGGAGAATCCATGTTAACCAATTCCTTAAAAGTTTGAATATGCATAAATGCCAAAGAATAAGCATTAAACTGATACAATATGAAATAYATTTAAAGATGTCTCCTGYCAACAGYAATTGTGCCTCTGGCAGATTGCCAAACAGCTGGTGCCGTATTCTTTTGGTTTTATGTACCCTATCGTCATTTAATAAAACCTTTTTAAATTTTAACAAGAGAGTGAACCTCGTTTTTCACAATTAYCTGTGGATGTATTTTTGGATATGATGCTTATGGAGAATGAATAGGAAAACAATTTACTGTAACATTCTAGTAAGTATGGTAGAATGAAAATAAAATTAATAGTGAAAATTATAGAGCAAGCTCCATGGTCCTGCTCTAAAATAACAAAAAACATCCCCAAAAGCAAGGTAACATTATTCAAGATGATGAAGATGCAGAAAAAGCTTTTCATTGAGAGGGGAGGCCTCTAAACTCACCTAAGATTCAATAATCACCAATGTTATTTAAAACTAAGGTAAGCAGCACTTATTTGGACAGCTGTAGCACCATATATGTAATGACACATATTTTCTCTAGGTGGGTACTAAATGTTGTTTGCACTGTAGAAAACCAAAGGAGCAAGGGCTGCACATTTTAGTGTCTTAAAATAGCAGTCCAACTCAAGGTTTAAAAGCAGAGCCAGTAACCCTTATTCCTATCCATYTCAAAAATTAGGAATCTTGATTCATTCTAGGCATTTTCATCTCAGTGCCTGAAAAAGACAGACACAGTCAGGAATCCCTCTGGAACTTCAGCAATAACCTTTGCACACAAGGGCTGGTAACACTAACACAGGGCATGTGGGATAAATGTCATTTAGTCTTCTCAGTTATGTTGATTTTCTCCTAGTTTAGGACAGCTTTAGAACTTCCAAACTCCCATAAAGTTAGAAAAAGTGKTTTTCAAGCATGAACTTTACTGTTATTCCTGGTATTGTGAATTCATTGTGGTGACCCTGACTCTACTGCAATGTTTACAGGGGCACAAAAAACAGCTGAAATTGTAAAATTTGATTTTTGTTAACAACACAGAGGTSACAACTGGTCTGCTTATACCAACTGGAGACAAAAAACCCAGCAAACCACTTTTTACATACTGTCAAGTGCTCATTATCTGAAAAATATTTGTTATCTTGTGGAATACATTATTGTATATAAGGTAACATTCCTCAGATGGTCCTTACCCTCCACAAYCCACTTTCTCAGTTTCTAATCAAACATAGGAGGGTTGAAATTGTTAAAATGGCCACAGCTGATTCATTCAAGTCCTCACTCTGCTTTAGCYTTCCCCCTATTCGACTCAGAAACATAAAACCACCTTACAAGTAGTCTCCAAATCGTGTCTTAGGGCTCCTTTATTGCRCTTACCTATGGCTTTTTCAATTTTAAAAATCTTTGCCCTACACACCCAAATATAAACCTGGCATTGGTCTCAAGAAATCTATAAGTGGCAAAGGGGCTGTGACGCGTGTTTAAATTGCCTCCTTAGGAGCCAGGACATCGAATTCTGGATTTCACGCTGCGGACAATCATGGAATCCCAGAATGGTTTGGGTGSGAAAGGACCTTAAAACTCATCCAGTTCCAACCCTCTGCCATGGGCAGGGACACCTCCAACTAGATCAGGTCGCTCCAAGTCGTTACCAACCTGGCCCTGACGGAGACGCAAGAACGTAAAAACCCACTGTGCCTAAAACAATCCCACCGACGGCTGCCACACTTCACAAGATGAACCGAGCGCGACAGCTGAAAAACCCCACCCTCACGGCGGCACTTGCAACAACTCCTCCTCCCCTCAGACGACTCCGCCTCCTCCCCTCAGACGATTCCGCCTCCTCCCCTCAGACGATTCCGCCTCCTCCCCTCAGACGATTCCGCCTCCTCCCCTCACGACAACTCCGCCTCCTCCCCTCACGACAACTCCGCCTCCTCCCCTCACGACAACTCCGCCTCCTCCCCTCACGACAACTCCGCCTCCTCCCCTCACGACGACACCTCCTCCTCCGCTCACGGCAGCTCCTCCTCCTCCGCTCACGGCAGCTCCTCCTCCTTCCGTCATGGCGGCGGTTCTTCTTCCCCTCACGCCGCCGCCGCGGTGCACTGTGGGAGCCGGAGTTCCCGCCCCCGTCTATACTGGCAGGACTACATTTCCCAGCAGGCAGTGGCGCGGCCGGCGCTGGCGGGGTGTGCCGGGAGCCGTAGTCCCTCGGCCCCGCACGCCCCCCGTGCGGCGTGCACGGAAACCCCGTGCGTGCGGGCGCGGCGCTCTCTTGGGCCGCCGCCGCCATTCCGCGAGCAGCGCGGGTAGCCCGCGCTCCGGCTCCGCCGCACTGCGCCGCGCCGCGCAGCCCCCGCCCGCCTCACCATGCAGATCTTCGTGAAGACCCTCACGGGGAAAACCATCACCCTCGAGGTGAGCCGCCGCCACCGGGCCGGGCCGGGCCGCGTGTGCCTTGCGGCGCTCCGAAACGCTGGGATGTGCCGGGCGGCAGCGGGATGCGCCGGGAGAGCCGGGGAGGTGTGGAAAAACCCGGCCCTGTGCTGCCCGGGAGGGTTCAGGCCACGCGGTGGGGGTCGGAATAGCCGTGGCAGCATCGGGCCTGTGCTGGGAGCTCCTCGTGGTTATTCGGTCTTTCTCGGGTAATTAAAACGTGCAACGCGTTTTGATTCTGTTATTCTGTTTCATATTAGGTTGAGCCTTCTGATACTATAGAAAATGTAAAAGCGAAGATCCAGGATAAGGAGGGTAGGTTCAGGAGGCGCTTATTGACTATTATATATTGATGTCAGTTATATATATTATTCTGTCCGTCCACTCTTGTGGATTGATGTGTGTTTCACACAGATATAATTTTTACCAGTAATCTTGATTTTATTACAGCTGTTGTTGTATGTTGTAGCTGATGTCCTTTATTTATTCCTGATTTGTGTCACCATTAGGCATCCCTCCGGATCAGCAGCGGTTGATCTTTGCYGGGAAGCAGCTGGAAGATGGACGCACATTGTCTGACTACAATATTCAAAAAGTGAGTAGGAAAGGCTGGACACAGCAGTGSAGTACCCAAGAATTGGCACAGGCATAGCTGAGCCTAAGAAATGTTTCTAATAGATTAAACCAAATTAAGGGATTGGGGCAGTGTTGATGTGTGGGGGCTTGGGATGTCATCTTAACAGCAAATAATCCTTTTAGAGCTTTCCTAAGTGCTTGGCATTTGAGATTACTTCCTCTAGGTAAAATTAAGAAGYCTGCTTAAATAGTGCAGGCTTATCCTGAGATAGATTAAAAATACTATTTCATATACTTTACAAACAGGAATCAACCCTTCACTTGGTCCTGAGACTTCGTGGTGGTGCCAAGAAAAGGAAGAAGAAGTCTTACACAACTCCCAAGAAGAACAAGCATAAGAGAAAGAAGGTTAAGCTTGCAGTGCTCAAGTATTACAAGGTAGGTAGAACTAACTTGAGCAGAAACTTGATGGAAACTCAGTTCTCACCAGGGGGAACTTGGAGTACATGTCTGCACAGAGCCTGGTGTATTTAACATTTAAACTCCTTCTGTGTCTGGATATCCCACCTGTTAAAGAGACACAATCTGTTGCAATTGGGGAATGTCTGAACTTTGCCTCAAAAAGTTTAATGCAGTCAGTAACTGTTAACTATTTTGCCAATGGAAAATACTCAAAATTGTTACTGTTGCTAAAAGCTGGAGAGTGTTTGTGAGCCATTGCCTGTTTGCCTTTCCCAGGTGGATGAAAACGGCAAGATCAGCCGCCTGCGCCGGGAGTGTCCCTCGGAGGAGTGTGGGGCTGGAGTCTTCATGGCCAGTCACTTCGACAGACACTACTGTGGCAAGTGCTGTCTGACATACTGCTTCAATAAGCCAGAAGACAAGTAAATGTACTAGACAATAAAAATCTGAGCTTCTCTATGGTTTAAGGATTTATTTCTGTGGCGCTGTGTTTCMTGTCTGCTTTTTAGTGAGAAAATTTGGTGAATCTTTGGGTGCTGCCGGCCAGCTAGGATGAAATATATCTAAAACTGAAGCAGCTACTTGATTTAAAGAATACTGGGTGCACAAGTTGTGAAAGGGAAAAACCAACCCCTGACCTAACTTTAAAAGTGGTTTCTTTAACAAGAAACAGTTCTGATCTGGAAAAATAGGAAATTGGGAGGTCCAGAGTCGTGTGCAGGTGGGTCAGTGCTAGAGAATGGGGTTTGGGAGTGCTGGTGACAAAATGCAGACACGGAAATACTGCACAGGAGCAGTGGGAGGGGATGGCTCAGCTATTTTAGATCCAGGAGATTGTCATCAATGGTGGTTTTATACACGCAGGATAGTTTTATACACTTGAAGTCTGGGCATGTAGTTACTCTGGTGGTTTATCCCATTTTTCAGTGAGGGCAGCTGGTTGCTTAACATGATAGAAGAGCAGAACATCTTGGATATAAAATATATCAGAAATGCTTTCATACAAAGAACAGCTCCTGTGCATCTCTGAAAGTTGATTTAATAYTAAGAGTTCAATGCCAGCCAGCAATATAATATATATCCTTTAGTGTTCATGTGTTAAAATGTCTTTAAAATCCTGGGTCCCAGGAAGTTGTCTGTTGAACTTCTTTTTCTTCATAACAGATAATTTCATCTCCAATATTGAATTCTAGATTTTTGTCCAAACTCAATCCGCAATCCATTCCTGTTTTTATTACCTGGACATCATCTTTATGGTGCTTCAGTGATGATAAACATCCTACAAAGAGAAAATACATGAAAGTGAGGCCACCAGTAGTGATTTGGTTTGCCCTTCCTGCAGAATTAATGTTTCACTTTGTAGCTACACAAGGAAAGGAGGAAAATTTAGGGATTGAGGGTGCTTGTGGTTAATGGAAGGCAGACACCAGCTCTTTTTGGCAGGTAAATCCTATGACACTCCTGCTTTTCTGCTAGAGTAGGTGGCTGGGAAAAGGTCTGGTAACAATACACTGGCATTTGGTGGCTCTCCATCCAGTAAAGCATTGGGGATTTCWTTAGGATCAGCTGTGGACACTGCACTAACTTCCCATGGAATTGGCTATGTCTAAACATACTAAACACCAATCACRTTCTGTGGGAATTCCGCTCACCTTTCCAAATCACATCCCTGTTACGGATTAGCTTAAACTTCATTTTTCTGTCCAGCAGCCCCTTGTGCACTCTGCATCCKGCCACTGGAATTTTGTTTTTTCCTACTGTGACAGAGAATGTGTCTAGAACAGAAGCTTCCCCTAGAAGAAAAAAGTAAAGTTGAAATCCACAGGAATAAAAAACTGGCACAAGGGAGAAGCAGGCTGCATTTTCAACTTGCCATGCTTTATAACAAAACAGAAAAGCAGTTACAGAGGAATATAAAATAGTTGATAAAAGAGGAATACTTCTCTTGAGAATAAGCTTTAGGCCACATTGGGAGGTAAATAAGTATCAGTCAATGAAAACTCACCTATTGTAGTATCCACCACAGTTGAGGGTAGCCTGCAATTCAGCTCATCCTTCAAGTCATCTACAAGTTTGTAGATGATGTTGTGAAGYTTAATTTTTATTCCCTTTTTATCAGCCAGCTTTTTAATACTTTCATTGGCTTTCACACTGAATCCAAATATAACACCTGATAAATGAAACAATTGTCAAGTGATGGCTACAAGAGATCACTCTAAGCTAAAGTGCAACTTTGCAGCACAGGCCAGAATTAGCAGTCAACAAACCAAGGAACAGCATTTTACTCCTGCTTCTTTTCTAAGAAAGGACCATTTACCTCTCCCACTATGGCACATGGACTGCTACAAACTTCCTACAAAACAAATGGCCCAAAAAAGCCAAAAAAGGACCCAAAAAAGGTCCCTGATGACAGAACTGGAGCTGTCAAAGCAGAAAATGACACAGCTCATGTAAAGTCCTTGGATGTCTCATTTTTGGGCTGGAAAACCAGACTGATTGTCCAAATAAAGCTGGAAGTGAATTCTAAATGATTCTCACCCRCTTGTGGGCTATGGCAGGTCCAGTGACCCCACCCTCTGCAGCAGGGGAGAATTAGGGGGTATGAACAGCAACAACTGACTCAGTCCTACATCCATTTGCCTTCTAACCTGCTTTTCTAGCTTTGCCCTGTGTGAGTATCRTAAAGCAACCTCAGTGAAGAGTCAGAGTCTAACCTTAACAGAATTTCTGTCCACAGCTTTTCCAGAGTCCTTCCATTTCCATGAGACTTCCAGCCTCCCTCCCTCCACCAGTTTGATGTTGAAGGAAACATTTTTAAGATAAATATTGATGTTAATTATTATTGAGAAAACAAAACCTGACTGAAGCCTACCAATTTCAGTAAGTCAGTAATTTCAAAACTGTAAAATAATTTTTAAACACACACCATTAAATGCTTCAGCTAGACTGATATCATTTTCACTGATGTCTCCCAATCCAAAGTAGACAATATCCAGTTTACATTCATCCTCACAATCGTAGCTGTCCAGAATGTTCAGAATAGCTTCAAGAGATCCRTCCACATCACCTGCATGGATAAAACAGAAGTACTGCTGACTTTGTGTAAGTCAGACACAGAAGTACAACTAATGTCAACTCCACACAATGCAACAGAAAGGACTTTTGACATCTATCACCCTTACTAGATTTTGATATGTTAAAACYCATCCCACAAGTCTGTTAATTAAAAAAAAATGAATACAGTAGGGCCAGAAGCTCTACATCTGCTGTCACTGTCAAGCAAAGTTTGGTTTTCACCTACAGTCACTGCTTAAGTATCACTAAATGGGGTTAAACCAAGTTCCTCCTGTCCCACTTAAATACAGTTGTTCTCTATTTTGCTGATGCAAAATGCTTACAGCTTTTCTTTTTAACTATTTATAGGGTCTAATATATGTGTATATGTGTATTTATATAGGAGTTTGTATGTATGGATTTCATTCAGGAGTTCCTGGGTAMGTGGGTTGGGCATGTTAAGTTTTCYTTGCTCTGGCCCTGCCAGAAGTGCATCCTCCTGACCACTGGATGTTTTCTGATGCCCTTGTTCTTCAAGAGAAGTTCAATTCAAGTTCAAGTTTTAAACTGATCCAACTTCTGGTAACAGAAACTCTGTTCAGTTTAGGGCTCTGTTTCAGACTGAGCATGTGAGAAGCACAGAACCAAAAGAACAGCAGACAGGGACAGCACCTTTAACTATTAATGACAGTGTATTTTCATCCATCTCTGTCCTCTCTTTAGGCCTTGAAAACGCCAGATGCTTATTGGCCTTGTAGAGCACTGCCTTCCTCTGTCTCCAGGTCAGGTGGGCCAGCTTCTCCTGCTTCTTCTTATATTCCAACCTGTGCTCCTTTTGCTTTGCTTCAATAACTTCTATATCCTTTTTCAGCTTCTCCTGTTGTTCAACATAGGTTCTCCAAGCCACAACTTCCTGTGCCCTTTGCTGGGGAGGAAGACAGAAACATTACCTTTAAAGCACTGCAACAGAAAACTACTATAAATGCAGTTTCATCCTTTTGCATGTTCTCTACAGGTTCACTCCTTTCACATTTAACTACAGGTTTTGCTGCACAGATGGCAGAGAATGAGACAAGATCTTTTCCTCCCTGAGCTAGCACTCAGCTATGACTCCAGGCCTATTTTTACAGTATCTCTGCACTGCAGAAGAGAATTATTGTTTATTCTTTCATGTGGTGTTTTTCCAGCTCTGACAACACCAATTTCAAACTGTATTTTATGCATTTTCTTTTTGTCAGGCAAGAGTTATGTCTTTCTAAAATTAAAACACATTTGAAGTGCTGCATTGTTCTAGTGGAGATGAGGACAGTCTGGCAGGGGAAAGGTGGAAAAGAAACAGACAAAATGCAAGTCCTCATTCCTCTTCCAGAGCATCTAGTTCAGGTCCCTTAATCCCCCATGCTCAACCTTTCATGGGATTATCCAGGTGATTTAGAATGAAAGCTCTCAATTTTTGTTACTCAGCTCCTTCCCATGCACCTTCCTGCAGTGTAAGCTTTCCACTGAACAGTTCTTTCTGTACCTCAGATTCTACTTCAAGAATTTCATCTCCTGCTGAAGGGGCTTCCTTCCAGCCCATGATTTCCACGGGGATACCTGGTGAAGCTGCATCCATAGCTTTGCCATTCTCATCAAACAGGAAACGCACTTTTGCCCAGGTCTTCCCTGCAACCAGAACACAGCCTTTCCTCAGAGTTCCTCTCTGGATGATGGCTGTGGTGAGTGGACTAGTGAAGAGCACAGRAGAAAAATAACAAAATTCAAGTGATGTTTCTCCCTGTCTTCATTGTTAGTGTAGGCACAACACAACCAGAATGGATTTGTGATCCATCACAGGCAGAATATTCCTGTGATGATTTACTAGAGTGATCATCAAATTTTAAGTGACTTGCAAAACCCCATAAGCTGTACTGTACTCTTCATTTCTGCAGATCAACCCAAATCTGGCATCTGTGAACTTAACAACAGACTGATTTTACACATTAAGTGAACATCCACCAAAAACCTCGACCCCAAACAACTAAATCCCAGCAACTCTCTAGAATTCAGTCCATTTTTAAACAGGGCAGGACATACCTTGTTCACATAGAACCTGCAAATGGACTAAAATACATTGGAGTAGAATGTCATGTTACATAAAACTCACTAAGAATTGTGTATGTGTTAACTGTTAACTTCATCATTCCTCCTTTTTTAAATGACATTTTAAAAAACACGAGTTCTACCATTTTAAACTATTTCCTGTTACAGGATTTCATTTCAGGGATATGATGAATTTTGCCCCATCGGTTTTTAACTTCTCGCGTTGCAGAGTAGTTTTGCAAGGCTTTAGGTAGAAACACTGCAAAGAAAGTGTTCCAGCTTTATTTACTGAGGCACAAGTCACATGAGGAATGTGTCTGTTGTTACAAACTGCTTCACTGAAGCCACAGAGGTGGCAGATKACTCACCCTTTCCCTTTGTCTTTCCGAGACTCAATGACAGTCCCCTCCACCAGCCCCGTGGCATCTGCCTTCAGTTCCAACATCTCTGCCAGAGCAACAGTGGCTTCTGCCAAAACCATCAGGTTTTCCCCCTGCATAAAAACCACACAAAAATACACAGAATRAAGAAGTGCCCAATTAAAGTGAGATCAGGAGTTGAACACTTAGTGCCAAATTCCCCCATTGAAATGTGATGACATTTAACACCCCAAGACTTCAGGCAAGACTTCAGAATATCAGATACAAAACTGTTGGACTGAATTACCAGAAGAAAAATGAGATAATGTTGCTKGGTCAAAGTCTAAAACTCAAAATACATTTCAGTGTGTTTCAAATAATTATGGCAAGASCCAGTAGMACTGAGCCCATGACAAGGTATCAAATAYCAGGAAGAGGMKCTTTTTATTTWCCAGCTGCCAAATAAAAATGCATCYCTCTGCACATACTAGACACCCAWGAACACCATCATTTTTTCTGCCACAACCTTACCTTGAGTGCAGAAATATTTACAGCTTGAACATCACCTCCAAACTCTTCACAGACCACATCATAAGCCAGCAATTCTTTCTTTACTCTTTCAGGATCAGCTTCAGGTTTGTCACATTTATTAATGGCGAGGACAAGAGGAACTGYAGAGAGAACAAAGTCAGCACCAACTTAAACAAAACCTGTTGCTACTACCACAGCTGCTAAAAAAGGTTAGCATAGATTATGGCCACTTAGAACAAATCACATCACTTGGTGCTTCTTCCCTGAGCAGCCACTGAGATGTGAGCTACCAGGAGGAAGATGGAGGATTTATCCATGTAGAAAAGGAAAGAAAACCCCAAACAGTGAACCCACGTCCTGCTAAATATTAGTGTTTTAGTATCTTTATGTATTACTGCAACATTTGGTACATTTTCAAACACRTTTCAGGGGACAAGGAATGGGACTAGGACAGGTACTTCCCAAGTTCTGTGGGTTCCAGTCCAAGSAAGGTTTTTCGAGAGGTAAAAGCAAGCTTCCCACAGCACCCCACATTGTACCTCCTGCATTTTTGGCGTGCTCGATGGACTCTATAGTTTGCTGCATGACTCCATCCTCTGCTGCCACCACCAGAATGACAATGTCGGTGACGTTGGTGCCTCTTGCCCGCATGGCTGAAAAGGCTGCGTGGCCAGGAGTGTCAAGGAAGGTTATCTTTTCCCCAGAAGGCATGTGCACTGTGAACAAATGGTACAGCTTAARAGCAGCATTTCACCCAGTACTGTAGATCAAGCATCACTCCTTTGCTTTTTTAATAATAATGACATATTTTAGGCAGTCAGGTAACTGTTGGCATGAAGGTCCAAGGTGCTGTTAAATCCTCCAGAACAAGAAAGTGTCCGGGGATCTTCCATAATACAAAATGGTCGAATTTCAGCTTTGCAGACAATTCACTTTGAAGTTCCACCCACAGAGTTACTACAGTTACCAGCAACAGATATTTTCTGTTTTGGTTTCCTTTCTCAACATTTACATATAAAATGTTTATGTGGAACCTTTTTCTCCAATTAACTGGCAGCAAGTCAGTGAGATGGAGAGGAAATCATGTTCCACCTGAGTCCATTCACCTGGATCTTACCAAGAAAAGCACCRATGTGCTGTGTGATGCCTCCTGCTTCCATGGACGCCACCTGGGTTTTCCTCAGGCTGTCCAGTAAGGTTGTTTTCCCATGGTCAACATGTCCCAGGATGGTGACAACTGGCGGCCGTGGGGTCAGATCTGCTGGGTCTGCAGGAGGCCTGTAATTACAGCAAAAATGGGGGTTGTAAGTGCCAAAAAAATTTCACTGAGCTATGCCCACCACGGCTAAGAAGAGCCGTCTACCAGCACTCAGTGCTGCATAATCGAGGCTGCCTCCTCAAAAACCTGCAGAAAGAAATTGAACAAAAAGAGCCAAAAAGAACAGTTCACAACTTGCCTTTTCACTGCATCTGTGTTTTTTCTTTCCTTTTCCTCYTTCAGTTTTGCTGATTTATACTTCATTCCTGATTTTTGAACAATCATCTTAATGTGGTCTTCCTGTAAGACAGAGTCTGGTTCTACTGAATCAAGGTTAATGTCTGTGTACAGCAGCGCTTCATAAATATGATCTGTAGAAAACATAAACACATTTAACAAYTGCATCCACAAAGAACATGTAGGACAAAAAACCCAACTCATTTCATTAGACTTGATCATTAGTTTACATTGTGCTGSTAAGTATCATTCACAAAGCAGTTTTTCTGTAGAATATTTATCTAAAAATTCCCTTTAATCTGCATACTTGCAAAAAAGAATTTYTTGCAGGTCTATTGAAAATGACCACTCTTTTAACTGCTATAATCTTATTTTTCAGTCAGATTTTCATAGCTTACTTTTCCATTAACCCTCAAAAAGAAACAACTGAAACTCACCTAAAGTTAACAGCAAAGGAATGATTCGAGGAGGAAGGAAATTTGATAAATTGGATCATATCCTGCTCTCTTTGATCCCAGAAATACAGAACGTAGTYAAAAATTGTTGCAGAGAGCAAGCCGAGAAAAATCTTGCCTACTCCCAGTAAATCAAATGACTGTTCTAATGAAATACTAATTGCTCCTGAACCCAAGATTCCCACTGCTACTCTGGAATTTCAGCTAAGCTCTTTAGCCATGAGTTTTTAACTCACAGTAGGGTCCAGCTCTGACAAACCAGGGTGCAAAATTTTCCTTCTGGAATAATTTAGCATCTGGGAATCACAACCATAAGGAGCAGCCTGCATGATCTGAAGCCTTTCTGCTGGAGATTGCAGACAGACCTGGCTTCTTCACATTTAAATGTTTGGCCTGGTAATTTGGATGGCCAAACTTCTTTTCTCTTTAGTTTGCACTGTGTCTTCCAACATTTTCTTTGGGATGAGTATGACCTGCCTTCTCAAGGGAGGGATCAACAACCAGTAATGCCACTGAAGACATCTTTGCCTTTCCCACTGGTGGAAGTGATGTGGCAGATTTTGCTGTTTCAGACCCCAGAGCAGGCTCTCACCTATGTCTTTGCCCATAGCTTGTGCCAGCTCCTCCACAGTCATCATCTGCTTTATCTCCACTTCACCTCTTGTCAGTGCAATCTTCTTTTTCTTCTTTTTTGTCTCCTACATGGAATGAAACACATTTTTAGGAACACAGAAACTAAGAAATAACAAAAACAATATTAAAATACAATTCTCTCAAGCCATATGAGGTAAATACATATTTTTAATACAATACCAATTACAGTAAATGAATGAGTTAACACATCATAGTGAATATTTTAAATGTATACCACACTACCCTTAATCTTTTTTCATTTTTAATTTTTCAGAACAAGGACAAAAATCAACAAAATCATTTCCATTTTTGTTTGTAAAGATTTCTTCCTGATTCTGCAAAAATTCATGAATTTATGGTCTAAGTCAGTATTTGAGAGAGAATGGCAATTAAGTCACACATTAAATACATTTTGTCTTATCTGTTTACTACAACTTCTCTATATTCATGAATAAAACACTTATCTAAAAATTGAAATGTTCAAACTGAGCTCTTGTACTTTCCACAGCAAACCAGGGATTACTGGATGTCCTTAATTACCTCTTTTGTGGCTAGATATCTGCACTGTGATAAGGCAGCACTGATTAATCTCTCTTTTGGCCAGAGCTGCGGATGCAGGAGGGACCCCACGGGATGTGGAGATGACTGCACAGGCTTCCATKGTGCTCCACAAACCTTCCTGGAGGACAGGGCACGCAGCTGCCGGCAGGCACCACGGAGCTGCACCAGATTTTCAAAYCTCAGCAGCAGCCCTCGGTTCATTTCCTCACTGAAAACATAAAGCACAGATTGAGATCAGCCTCAAGGCTCCAAGATCTCCTTCTCAGAATAAAATGGACAGGAAYACATGGCACAAATGTTACGTTTCCAAACAGGCTTTTTAACACAGAAAAAAAATTTGAACTATTAAGGAACTGTTCCAGTTTTTCCATTTTCTTCTACACTTCACCTTTCTCCACTACCCCACTGCAGACACACAGATSTACTAAGAACTTACAGATCCTTCACCGTTCTCCACTAATCTTGATATAAACTAATTCCCTCATTGTAGGTGCTTTGACATCTCCTAAAAAAAAAAAGCACTCCTTGTGCTATAATGACAGAATTACCCAAGGGCCAGCTATCTCCCTAAGCCAGCAAAACAAATCTGTAAAATGCTTCTTACCTGACCATTTCAAGGTAAAAGCATCACTAAAACACCACAGCATGGCAGAGACACCTGCTGTCATGTGATCAGAGACATCCTACRTGGCTAAACCCTGGCTCAGCAATCAAGCTTCTGTCAGATCATCCCATGTCTCATTTCAACCATMTTATCTTTGGTTTGAATAATTTTCCCAATATCCTGTACAACAGTCTTCTCCTTGAGCTTCTCTTTTTGCTCAGAGCTGCCTATTCTGCACTGGCACAGGRTGCCCAGGGCATTTGTGGCTGCCCCATCCCTGGAARCATTCAAGGCCAGACTGCACGAGGCTTGGAGCAACCTGGGATAGTGGAAAGTGYTCCTGACCATGGCAGGCATGGAAATGGATGGGCTTTAAGGTCGCTTCCCACCCAAACCATTCTGTGATTCTGTCCTGTGCAGGAATGGACTCTCTGCACCTTCCATTTCCCCTGTCACAGGTGTCCTTGTGTCACCTRCCCAGCAGCTCCAAAGCAAGGGAATGCTCTGTATTCCTCTCAAAATGCCTGCAGGCCCTTTAAAACGTCCCTTGCATCCGGACACCTGCAGGAAGTGAGCACATAACACACTAACCAACCAAAATCAGCTATTCTGCCTTCATTTTTTTTTYCCCCCTAAAAAGAACCTCAAAGGGGCTGAACCGATAAAACTGAGGAAGTCCCGGAGCTGCCACAAGACGCTGCACATACACACACAAACAACACAAGGTCAAGGCCACACTGGCCCAGCTCACAGCGGCSAAACCCACGCCAGGCTCTGACCGGCTCCCGTTCCTGCTGCTCTCCTGCCCATCCTTCTGGCTAATTTTTACCTGTCAGCTGCAGCCCGCCCTCCSCGCGGGGGCAGCGCCCTTCTCCGAGCTCCCGGTTCCCGGCCCTGGCAGCCCAAGGAACGACGGAGGGAATGAAGGAGGAAAAGAGGGAAGGAAGGAGGGAAGGGAAAAGGCGCCCCGTCCCCTCCGTGCCTCACGCCGGGCGCGCCGCTCTCTGCGCACGCGCCGCGAGGGGGCGCGAGGGCACCGCGCAGGCGCAGCTGCGACCCCCGGGCTGGA